AGGGCGAGCCTCCATCTGCCCTGCCCGTGGGCTGCATGACCAGAACGCAGACGTGGAAAATAGCGGGGACCTCCAGGCCGTGTACTTTGCCGCATTTAGGGAAATAGACGTGCAGGTTCTTCTTTTGTTCTGTAGGCAGACTAATTCTTTTCAGTCTTTTCATGGGGAATAAAAACCCAACTGAAATGACTTGGAGTTCCAGGAACTGGGTTAGCAGGGAGTGAGGTGGTGGTGAAGGCTCTGAGGGAGTGAATGCCAGAGGCATGTGCTCACCCGGGCTGGCAGTCACCCGGGCTGACGGTCACCTGGCCGGGCTCGGACCCACTGTGCACCTTGTCCTCGGTGACAGCGACCCAGAGCTGCGGGCTGTGGGCACACTCATGCGTGTGACCCCCCCAGACACCCGGTCAGCTCGCCCACTCGGATGCAGGCAGAACCTTAGTCTTTGTTACCAGGACAGGTCCCGAGCCCCGAGTCAGTGGGATGCCTGTGCCTGCCTGCACCCTGTTCTGTTCTGTGTTGCTTTGCCGGCTTGGAGCTTGGCTGTTGATTTGAGTTCTGGATTTTCTAACTCTGTATTTAGGTATGGGGGAACCTTCCAGAACGTGTCTGTAAAGCTGCCCATCACACTCAACAAGTTTTTCCAGCCCACGGAGATGGCGTCTCAGGATTTCTTCCAGCGCTGGAAGCAGCTGAGCAAGTGAGAGGCCTGGCATGCCTCGTGGGCGGGGCCAGGGAATATGACATGTCCATGCTCGCACCCACTGTCCTCAGAGGGGCCAGGGGATGCGATGCGTGTGCTCACGCTCACTTGTTCCACGCAGCCCGCAGCAGGAGGTGCAGAACATCTTCAAAGCTAAGCACCCGATGGACACGGAAATCACCAAAGCCAAGGTGAGCGCTGGGTTAGGGCGTCCCCGGGCCTGAACCACGACACTGGCCTCGCCTCAGAAGGGTTCTGGGACTCCACCGTCTGCTGAGGTAGCACTCAGGTCCTGGTTTCCCTATTTCTTCTGTGCAGATTATCGGGTTTGGTTCTGCACTCCTCGAAGAAGTTGATCCTAATCCTGCAAATTTTGTGGGCGCCGGTATCATTCACACCAAAACCACCCAGATCGGATGCTTGCTGCGCCTGGAGCCCAACCTGCAAGCCCAGGTCAGGCTGCGCAAGGCGCTGTTGAGTGCACGCCGGGGCCTGTCACAGTGCGGGTGATGCGCAGGGAGGCACGAGGGCTTAGTGTGCAGCGTGATACGCTCTGCCACCGTGCGTGCCACGGAGCCTCCACCCCAGCCGTGCACAGAGCACCCTGTCCCCGTGCCCTGCTTGGATGTCATGTAACTGTGCTCCGTGTGCCAGCTTTTGTGACCTGCGTGCTTTGTTCAGTGCTCTGCTGACTTTTTGACGCCGCTCCATGCTGCTGCTGTGGGTGGGCTCTGTCCTCTCCCTGCTCCTCTGTGCCACGGGCTGTTCAGTCCTCCTGCGGTTTGTGACCATCTCTGGACATGTCTTGTGGGTGTGAGTTTCTACTCCCTCTGGTGATGCCCAGGCATGGACGGCCCACTCTGTGAGGCTGCTGGGCCATCCTCCTGGCTAGGTGTCTCCCCGGCCGCCCTCCTTCCCCCACCAGCAGCGTGGGCACTGTCATCCCGCCCTGGCTATTGGTGGATGATTTGGCTTCGGCCGCTGACAGCACGTTAGGTGCTCGAGCCCCTGTAAGGAGGGACGCCTCCAAGGAGGGCTGTGGGGGGGCACAAGGCTCTGGGGCGGGAGCCAGTGCTGCCCTCTGGGGCTCTCGCGAGGCCGTGCCCCAACCCGCTGTGCGCTCTTTTCCAGATGTACCGGCTCACCGTGCGGACCAGCAAAGACACCGTCTCCCAGCGGCTGTGCGGGCTGCTGTCAGAGCAGTTCTAGTCCCTGGGCCAGCTCATCCCTGTGTGTCTCCATCCTGACTGTTGTCTCCATCACCACCCTGCAAACCAGCCCCCTGCTCCGGGCACCTCCCGCCCTCCCCAGACCTGTCCCGGGGGCCGTGGACAGAGGGACTGGTGTGCGTCTGGGAAGAGAGTGGCCCGACTGTGCGCCACACGCAGAGCGGCCGTGCATCCTGGGTCTGCTCATGCAGAAACTCAGGCCACGTCCCTGGCTCATTAAAGGGAATCAGACGTGTGACTGGAACTGGAATTTTCTTGCAGTTTCACAGAGCTGCCCTGCTCTGTGGTGATCATCAGCCCTGGACCCTGAGGAACAGCACGTTTGTGGGTGGGAGCCCTGGTTGCCAGGAGGTTGGCTGAGGGGCCGGGGGTGGGTGCGCTGGGAGGCATGGAGAGCACTGTGTGGCCAAGCGTGGTCCTCCGCCTCGAATCGGGCAGCTGCCTGCAAGGTTCTGTTGCAGCCAGCACCCATGGGGCAGTTTCTCTGGGGCAGGTTTTAAGATCTCTAAATCAGAAACGTTTGTTTTTAATGACTGTTGGCAAACACGTGTATCCTGGCTAGATTTACTCCGGGTTTCCCTCTTCCCAATACCACTGTTCTGAAAGGGGTGTGTGTCATGTTGTCACCGTTCACTCGAGCCCATGAACGCAGGCTTGAGGCAGAGGCCTCGTGTGTGTCCTGAAGACAGGCCTTCTGTAGTGTCGATATTTGCTCGGCGGCAGCCGTGTGTGACGGGGTCACATGAGGGTGGCAGAGCAAGGCTCCCAGAGGACTCGGGTGTCCGTCCCAGGTCAGCAGAGGCTGGTTTTCCCTCGGGGTGGCTGTCCTGTCAGGTGGCGGTGCTGCAGCCTCCCCCTGCTTGGCCTTGTGGCCCAGCTCTACGGGTGGGAGGAGGGGCCACGCATGGCGGGCAGCCTGGGCATGGCACCCACACGGACCCTAGCCAGCGAATGGCCCGAGAGACAGGGACATGCCGAAGACACGTGGGTCCTGTCACCTCATACAAGCCCGCTGAAGCCCAGCCCTCAACGTGCAGCCCCCGGCGCGGGTTGCCCGGCTCACCCCTCAGTGACAGCGAGATAGGCAGGGGCGGGAAGCAGGTTAGAGGCTGAGGGTGCTCATCGTGGTCTCCAGTGCTGCGCTGAGAGGACACTCCAGAAGGGGATCAGCGGCGAGGAAGCGGGCTGACAGGTGTGTCCCGAGCAGTCCTCTGTCCTGCCACATTGAGGAGACGTGGACTGGGTGGGGTCTCTGCCACCACCACTGGCCCTCTGCCTGGAGCGCTTGTCCTGTTTTCTGGGGTGCTGGGGGTTCACGTGCAGACCCACAGGTGGGCAGCCCCTCACTCGGGCTGAGTCTTGTCCATGCCGTCAGTGTGCCGGCCGTGATGTCACACGGAACTGTGAGAGACCCAGGTGCTCGGCAGGAGCATGCGGGCTACAGCGGCCCCGGTTCTGCCAGGCTGCCCAGGAGCCTGTGCGGGCCGGGCCTGTCCTGCCGTCTGTGCTGGGCCCGACGGATGGCTTGGCGATGGCATCAGAGCCACTGGGCCCACGCTCGCCCTGTGTCCTGTGGTGGTACGGCCGTGGATGGCCATTCTGCCCCTGCACTCTGGTGGGTGTGTTGGTGCTGGGGTTAACCCTTTCTGTCCTCCAAGGGAGTGCCAGCCAGCCCCGTGATTGCCGCCCTCCCGTGTCCAGCTCTGCCTTTGTGTTGCAAACGTGATAGCAGGGCAGCGTGTTTACTCTGAGGAGAAAAAGAAACACTAGAGCCTTGACCTAGACCCGTGTGTGGTTTGGGGAAGAAACAGCAATGTAAACATGAGGTCCCTGGCTGTGCCAGTGCCCCAACTCTGATGACACCAGACAGGACTGGCCCAGCTTTAAACGCTCAGCGCCACCCGACGTCAGGGGTCACAGAACCAAGGTGTGTTTTAAGGCGACGTGGCTTGTGCTTGACCACGGGAGCACTGACTGGCCAAACGCTGGGGTGTCGAATAGGGGACCCATCCTCGTGGCAGACCCTTCACACGGCCTAGCCACCCTCTGGAGTGCCTGGTGGGCCCAGGGTGCTGGGCGGCTCTGCCCCTCGGAGCCTCTGCCCTGAGGTGCGTGTGGCTGACAGGCGCTTTCCCTGGGCACCACCTGCCGAGCTGCCACGGTGGGCGTCCCTGCCTCCAACCAGCTCAGAGGTCTGGACCCCGCTGAAGGGGAGGGTGGCTACACAGAGGGGGGCCTGGGGCGGGCTGCCCGGACGCTCCGGGCAGACTGGGCACTCAGTGGCCACACGTGCCTGTGTGCGGCCTGGGAGTGTTGAAGGGGCTTGGGCGAGAGCGGAGGCAAGTCCTCACAAAGAGACTTCTTTGCGCGGGCATGAATGACTTTATTTGTCGTTTGTTAGTGGGCACTTCGTTCTGTTTCTTAGTTTACACAGACGGCCCTTAGAACACAGTGGCTGGCGATGCTGGGGCCCTCCCGAGAAATGCACTTGGTGGGCGCAGGCTGGGCCGGGCGGGTGGGCGGGCGGGGGGCTGGGAGCCGCTCTGTGGGTGCGGGCTGGGAAGAGGCGGGGTGCTGGGGGCTGCTGCCTTGGCCTCTGCCCTCCTTGATGTTCCCTGGTCAGGAAGCACCTCTCTGGTCTTGGCTGCTTACCTGTGCCTCTTGCCCCACTGCAGCCCCACACAGGTGCACTGGCCCCTGCCTCCTCCCCAGGCACAACCTGCCATCCTGCTGCGCTCCCGGCCCCCAGCCTCCTGGCCGCCGGCTCTGCGGTCTTCTCAGCTCTGCCCACAGAGCTGGGCTGGCTGCATCTGAAGGTCAGGAGAGTGGCTAGATGCAAGCGCCTCGGGTCGCCCTCCGCACAGTCCAGCAGAGCCCGTGGTCAGGGCTCCTCATGCCATGCTCTGCGTCCAGCAGGTCTGCGGAGCACCTCTGGGGTGAGCTACGGCCCAGGGCCATCCACATGGTCAGGGGAGGGGTTGCAGGCGGAGCAAACCAGAGGGTGGTGGGGACAGATTGCTCGGAGTCAGCTGCAGCCCCTGAACCCAGGGGTGCAGACAGAGGCTCCGCTAGTCCCTGCAGGGCTGGCTGCTACACACACAGCTTCTGAATACCAGCAGGGTGAGTACCCGCTGGCCCCCGGGTGCACTGGGATCTGGGCAGGGCAGCACCAGCTGCTTCTCATAGGACTCCAGTGGGTGGCAGCAGCCACACTGTATGTCCACTTGCCTGGTGTCGATGTTGAAGCTGCAAAGGGACCGCAGGAGAGGGTATCAGGACTGGGCCAGTGCCCTTTTGGTGGAGAGGGAGGGGCCGAGAGCGAGCTTTAGCCCCTACCCCCAGGAAGTACCCTCCCTGGGGCTGCTGTGTCACCAACCAGCTCCAGAGGGTATGGGCGCGGAGTCTGGTGGGAGAGCAGTCTACCCAATAAGAGCCCCCACTGGGGACCCTTTTTTATTGTAGGCCTCACAGGTGATACATCTAGACTAGGTGTGTGGCCCAGGGCGGGTGCCCTGCCCTGCCCTGCCCTGCAGGTTGCTCTCTGCTGGGCAGAGCACAGGGCACTTAGCACTTGCTACCCCCACAAAGCCGTGCTCCTGCCCAGGAGGCTGCCACGGCCGGGACAGGCACCCACCTGGATGCTGCTGTGGCCGGGATGGGCGGTCACCAGACTGGGGATCCTTCATAGTCTGGGCATTCACCTGGCCGAGGAGGCCACCAGGGCCCAGGTGCTCACCTGGCCGGGGATAAACACTGACCTGGCAGAGGAGGCACAGGTGCCCTCGCAGCGGGTCATCGTCACATTTGCTGTACACCCCAGGTATGTGATCTCCTCCTCATACTCCTTGACGCTGCAGATACCTGAGGTCCAGAAGGCGGATGGTCAGGCGGCAGCCACGGGATAGGTGGGGGTCGGGGAGGGCTGTGAACACAGGCTCGAGCCTGTGGCTCCCGAGACACTCAGTGTGAAGCGGTGACACCGACATTCGGGCAGGGGACGGAGTGGATGTGGCGAAGGAGGTGAGCTGCATGGCAGGGGGCAGGAGGGCAGGGTGGAGCAGGCACTGCCAGCAGAACCTGGGCACCCTGGCCTCTGTCCTGGCTGGGCCTCCAGTGTGTCACCTGGGGTAAGTCACTGGCCATTACGGGCTGTCATTTCCTTTTCTGTAGCCTGAGGGGGATTGGGCTAGAGGAGCCCCAGTCACTGGCAGCCCCGCTTCTGGGGATATCCAGTGGGGCAGTTATGGAGAGCAACTGGGCACAGTGTCACTGGTGCCACCCATGGAGTGCAGGACTGCAGCTGTGGATGTGGGGAGTGAGGTGGGGCCAGCGAGCCAGGAGAAAACAGCAGCAACAAACCCAGAGGTAGCAAAGGGGCCCCTCTGCGGGTGGCCGAGCACCTTTGTGACCAGAATTGTTTGTGCAGGGGAGTGCGGAGGAGAGGAGAAAGAGCTGCAGGGAGTCAGAGAAGGCCTGGAACGTGGCCCTGGGCACAGCACGGTGGCGATGGAAAGGCCACAGAGACAGAGCCTTGGGGAAGGTGTCACCTGGACAGCCACTCCCTGCCTGGCAGGTGTTGTCCTTCCCAGATGCCCCGACAGGGAATGCTGTCATCCCCAGGGCACAGCTGCAGACAGCGAGGCTTGGAGTCCTGGAGTGGCACGTGTACGTGCACACGCTGGCCGAGGGCACAGCAGGGACTCGGGTCTGTGTGCATCCAGGCTGAGCGTGGTCCGAGCTCTACCCTGCAGCCCTGGGGAAATGGAAGGCTGTAGGGGTAGAAAGGAGCCCTGACAAGAATAGTCATCTGTCAGCACAGCATGGGCAGTAGGGACTAGGGGCAGGGGAGCGGGAACAGGGTGGAGGCTGCTGCAGGGGTGGGAAAGTCCATGAGTGTGAAGCTGAACTCAGAGGGCAGAAAGAAGATGGGTGGAACTGAACAGAGCTCACACGATAAGACGGGAGCAAGGCTGACAGCGGGACATGAAGCTGAGCATTGTTCACCGGGAATTGATGGAGGCAGGCAGGAGAGCGTGGATGAAGGCAGGGGATCCCTGCAGAGAGCTAGGACTAAAGGAAAAACACTTACCATTGGAACTGGAGAGTGATGTCACAACAGAGGAAATGGAGGGTCCCCGGGTAGAGAAGGATTCTGGAACAGGGATGGAAGAGCTCCCATGCGCAGTGATGGAGCTGCTCAGGAATACGGTGGTCAGCAGCCCCGTGGGGCTGGCCTGGCTGCTGGTTAGCATCGTAGCAGGAGAACTGGGAAAAGCTGTGACTCCCAGGGTGGATGAAACCAACCCAGGCGTGGGAGTGAGTGTGGTGAGAGACGTGGACAGAGATGTGGACTGGGAGGAAACGGAAGACGAGGGTGCGGCACTCGGAGTGGTTCTGGACGTGGAGGGAACGATGGTGCTGCTGAAGGTGGGGACAACAGAAGGGGGAGGAGACAAGTGCAAAGTGGACGTTGGGGGCAGAGTGGAGGGGGTCAGAGCGGTGGTGACAGGGGATACGGAGGAACTAAGGGAAGTCATGGTATGTGGGGAATGAGTGAAGGAAGATGTAGTATTGGATATAACCACATGACCGGTAGGAAAGGGACTGTGCGAGGCCAAGCTAGCTTGCATAGTGTGCTGCGTGGTGGGAATAGAAGATGTTGATGAGTAAGTGGAAACCGAAGGCGCAGAGGAAGAAGAGGAAGATGAGGAGATACCAGAAGACAACAATGAAGTGCTTGTCACTAACGCAGGAGAGGAAGGAACTGATGAAGTAGAAGGCAAGCGTGTGGAGGAGAAGGGCAGACTGGGCAGAGGTAGAGATGTGGTGAAAGGACTTAGGGACACGTTTGGCAGAGATGGAAAAGATGAGGAAGGGTGGCTCAGGGTTGACACCGGTGGAAGCACGGAGGATGACTGGCTTACAAGGGGAGTGGTTTTGGCTGTGCTGATGGAGCTGGGGGGAGGGCGGGTCTCAGTGGTGGTCTTGGTGAGTGATGGTATGGAGGCTGTGGGCCGTGTGGCTGTGGTAGGCAGAGAGGTTGCAGTGGGCGGTGGCCTGGAGGGGGAAGAGTTGATGGGTTCAGGGGTCCGAGTGGTAGTTCGGTGAGAGGTGGGAGTCACTGAGGAGGTCTCAAATGGCGGTACCCGAGTGGGGAGCGTGGTCTCGGGGTGTGAGGGGGTTGGAAAGGAGGTGGTGGTCTTGAAGGATGTGCCTGAGGGGGGACCTGTGGTGCGTGAGGAGGAGGAGGGAGAAACGGTGGGCTGGGAGGGAGTCACGGCAGGAGTGTGAGGTCGGCTGGGGGTGGCGGTCGAGGTGGTCTCGGCAACCGGGGTCTCAGTTCGTGAGCTGGTGGGCTTGGGGGTGATGGTAGTGGGAGCAGGTGATGTGGATGGGTGAGGTGCTGTTGCGGGCGGGTGTGACACCCGGGGACTAGTGGTTTTGGCTGTCCTGATGGAGCTGGGGGGAGGGCGGGTCTCAGTGGTGTTCTTGGTGAGTGATGGTATGGACGCTGTGGGCCGTGTGACTGTGGTAGGCAGAGAGGTTGCCGTGGGCGGTGGCCTGGACGGGGAAGAGCTGATGGGTTCAGGGGTCCG